TAAGGGGCCCGGTATGAGAAAAATGTGAGGAGTAAAATCTATCGATGAATGACCTCGTTACGTTTTTACTGTCTACGCTGTAGCAGCCGTAGTGCTACACCGTAGCACAGTATCGTAGCGTACCTTTATTGCCTACGACGACAAAGAAACCGCGTCGGTGTACCACCGCGCCATTCGTTGAACACAAAACCATTGACCTTTAGAAGTAAACGTAGATATGTCATTTACAGTATCAATCTTTTTTAAGTTAAATAAACTCTTTTTGCGTCTGGTTAGACTATCGAATTTAAGGAGTAAACTCCAGTCGTGCGTCGGAGCCGACACACACATTTTTGAAGTTATACTTCTTTAGGCGCGTTATGAAAAAATGATGAGAGTGAAATTTTAAGATGCGCGCGCATCACTGTAACACAAAATATTATCGCTAAAGCGACCAACTTCATGCTGTTACTTTTGTGTTTACCGCACATTAAGAAAATCTACCAACAAAATACAAATAGAATCTCTATTTAGTGGGTACTAACGACTGCATTGTGAAGGCCTATCAAAAGTATTTATTAATCTGGAACAACGGAACCAAAGCGCGATTCAGGAGACTACAGCGCCATCTCTTGACCATTGGTGTAGTAGAACCAAAAACCACATCTTTATTTTTTGTAATAAAGTAACAGTTATAGGTATTCATATTTATAATATCAAAAGTATTTATTAAGCTGGAACAACGGAACCAAAGCGCGATTCAGGAGACTACAGCGCCATCTCTTGACCATTGGTGTAGTAGAACCAAAAACCACATCTTTATTTTTTGTAATAAAGTAACAGTTATAGGTATTCATATTTATAATATTTATCCACATGTTTCTAGTTTGTATATTCGGAATACGCGTTTGAGTTTCATACAAGTGTAAATCACATATGTTCTAATAAATTATATTCAGTAGCGATTTTAATTGAATATTTTGATTATTTATTTATTTTTTCAAATTAAAACTGAACTTTATTGACTGTGTCCTTTTCCAGACTTTTTATTAATTTATTGTAATTAATTATTTGCATGCAATTAAAAACTAATTTTAAACGATGCCAAAGAAGGATAACTTCTCACGCGCCTACATAAGTACACGCACCCATTTTTTTTAAGATGATGATATTGAATATGCAGCCCTAAACTAAAATGAAATGCAGAAACCAACACAGGAAAGTGTTTCTGTTTCCAGATGGGCGGTAACCTTGCGCAGGTGCTGAATGAGGTGACAGTACGCAAGGTGAACCATCAGAGATGCGCGATCCAATACGCGATGGCCGGTGATCGCGTCTTTACCAACATGATATGCGCCGGCCTGCTGGGAACTGGTGGTATGATATTTTTATATTAAAAGGGTGGTTAACATTACAGATGGGCCGACTATAGTATTTGCCGACTAACCGACTAGTCGACTAATCGGTTTTCGAATTGCCGACTAGTCGGCCGACTATTCTGCAATGCCGATCATTCTAATACATATCTTAGGAAGATGTTCGGAATATTTCGTCACTACTCGGCTTGCTCACGCGCGACACGAGTCTCCTAAAACGAGCCGAAATATTCATGTTCCAACATCACAATTTGCCTCTAAAGAAAAAAAAATTTAATATAAGATTTCACTCAATTAATACGTACTTACTTCCCACTGCTATATTGTAATGTGCTATATTTCTTGTGTCTTATTCATTGTGTCAAGTTATCTGAATTACTGACAGATTCTTAAGTTCCCAATTCTTATTATGTTACCTTATTTTTTTTTAATATTTTAAGACTGTATGTAACTCTAAATACATACTCTAGGTACTGTTTAAATATTTAAAACAAGCATAAGTTTTATTTCATTGTTATGTGCCAATTATAATCGGCATATTTTGCCGAATAGTCGCCGACTAATCGCTGACTATGAACGAAGCCGAATAGTCGTCTTTCCCGACTAGTCAGCGGCTAGTCGGCCCATCTCTAGTTAACATGCTTATGACCAGCCTGATGGTAAGCGGCCATCAGAGTTAGTTTAGAGACGCTTATGATATAAAAAATATCACTCGCGCCATTGCCTACCCTGAACACATTCCCTTTCCCGTGGAGCCCTGTAACCTTACTCATCAACAGAAACACAACACCACCAAAAGGTATATTGTGTGTTCTGTATTCTGTAAGGTGGGGGTTACTTCCGTCCCCGGACGGGCTAAAATTCGCCTTTGTTTCCCGTGGTCCACCTCGTAGTCCACCCAGGTGGACCATGGGGATTATTTATTACCCGTGGTTCACCAGGTGGACTATGGGTATTTTTTCCCCCCCGTAGTTCACCTGGTTGAACCACGGGAAATAATTTTTACCAGTGGTCCACCTGACTCTTCCTCAATTTATTACGGCTCTTGAGTGTCTTGAGCACAATAAGAATTGCAAAATTAAAAAGGCTCATATTAATTATGATTATATAAAGGATATTCAGATGCAGGTAATTAACAACAATATTTCTATAGGCATCGCTTAATAAAAACTACGCTAATTAAAAGATTTTAAAAATTACGCGGTTTTTTTAAAATTGTAAATGCTTTTTTGTTCATAATAACATCCATAATTTACTGTTAGAAACATATGGCTATGCGGGTAGACCACGGGAAAAGAATTAATCCCCGTGGTCCACCTGGGTGGACCAAAATTCGCTATGCTTTTCCAAGCTCTCCGATTGTAGAGAAACTCAGTGTATATTTTTTACATTTTGGTTTAAAAAGGTTGGATTGATTGGCGCTTGATAGCAATCTGTTGAACACCGGGTTTAGGCACGGTTTTGAATCGTGATTAGACTTACTTTTATTTTATTTAAACTACTTAAGTATACTTATTAATATAAAGAGGTAACGTCTTATGTCTTTTTTATATGTTTAGGGCGTAAGCTTAATCTGATAAAAACCTACCTGCGGATGATATTATATCAATCTAGATTGACAAACTTGTCAATTTACGATAAAAAATAAATTGCTGAAAACATCGACTTTGTTAACTTAATATGATATTAAACTAGGGCTGCCATCCGTCCGGGTTTCCCCGGATTTGTCCTAGTTTACGGGGCTTCCGGGGAGCGTCCGGGCGGGGTTTCATTTGTAGTCCGGGTTTAAAAATTTCCTGTTTTGGGTTGCCAACTAATCCGTCAATTTAAATGTCTTTGAAAGTAAATAAATCTTTTCTCTTTCAAAGATCAGGGGGCCCTTCGCTTAACGTAAATGCTTTGGAAAACGCTAACGCTTTCGATTTCATTTTGTTATTTCTGACCGCCGAAGGTTTTCAAATACCTCACTCTCATTTTCTTTGATATTGTTATTACCAATGCAAAAGCAAAAAAAAAGAGCGCGGGGCATTTGAAAACCTCAGGCGGCTAGAAAATAACAAAATGAAATCGTAAGCGTTAGCGTTTTCCATAGCATTTACGTTAGGCGAATGGCCCCCAGCTCTGTCGCTCACGCTGTACGCAATAACAGCATTCGTTGCTATGTGGATGACAGCACTGACACTTTTTACACTGGTCGGTCAAACATCCCTCGGATGGAAGAAGAAGGGTATGAAGACTTGTGTCCGAGATTGAGATGTTACTGGATCAAGTCTCAAATTGAAGCCAACATAACTTGATTGGATTAACCCAGCAAAGACACAAGTTTGTGTGAAAAAGCTTGGGTGCTTAATAGACCTAGTAAGTACCTCAAGCCTAAATATCGGGTGTTACTTTACAAAGCACTGGTCCTCTGGGCTGCAGCACCCCAATACCAGCTCCTTCCTCTTGACCGGATACAAAAGCGGACAGTTTGATTTATCGATGATCCTGAGCTCACTGACGCGTTGCAACCCCTTAGCATGCGCAGACGGTACAACACGCACAAGAACGCAACTGCTTATACGTGTTGTACCGTCTATACAACGGAGAGTGTTCCGAGGAATTATTCAAACGGATGCCAGTGGGCAAGTTTCTCCACAGCACCACACACCGCAGAGAACTTTGACACCCACCATCTGGACGCCTAGCGTTCGAGCACCATGTGTTCCTTTCTTTTGCGTACCAGTAAGATCTGGAACGAACTTGCCTCAGTATTTTTTTAATAGCTATGATATGGTAATCTTAAAGAGGCGGATGAACCTTTTCGTTCAGAGCCGGCAACACATGAGTGGCCCTTGTTGCTGCAAGTGTCCATGGACAGCAGTGACCACTTATTATGAGGTGGACTTCTAACTGTTTTGCCTACATCAACATAAAAAAAGTTGATTTGTGACATTTTTAACTGTTTTTTATTGGTCTGTGCAGGTTTTGGGCTCCAAAATCCGGGGTTATCACGCGTCTTGTCCTGGTTGCCACATCTTAGAGATGGCAGCCCTATATTAAACCTGTAGAAAGGCTGGAAAAGTAAAATTTTATTAGTATTTTTATAAGATCCTTTTAATTATTTTCGTATGGGTTTGATTTAAAGTCGGGGGGCGCCGCCGTAGAAATCTCGCCCAGGGCGCTCCTAGTACTAACACCGGCCCAGGATATACGAAGGAAGGAATGGTAATATTATATCTTCCAATGGGGCTATACATTGTATAATAATGAACTTCACAAAGAAGTTCGTTTGATCATATATTACTGTAGAATCAAACTTTCTGAGGAAAAAGGGCAACTGTTATAAAACTTTCATTTTTTTATTGGGGAAGCGGGTGTGAAATCTTCATAGATACCCTACTGCCGTCCGTAGTTTATGCTTATGGCCGGAAGGGCCTTAATCCCCTGAGAGGGGGTTGATGCAGAGGTATAAACTTACTTTTTTTTTTGTTTCCTCCCAGGCGGGGGAGCGGGTGAGAAATCCTCATGGATGATGATCCTCAGCGGGGATTATGTCAGACTCTTACTGACTAAAAAACACCCGTTAATCAGGCTTATGGCCAGAAGGGCCTTACAAGCTTCATCTGAAGCGGTAAACTTACAAAGTGTATTTTCTTTAAATAGGTGCAGACGCGTGCCAGGGTGACAGCGGGGGTCCCCTCATCTACGAAGGCATCGTGGTGGGAGTGACGTCGTGGGGGCGAGAGTGCGGACACCCGGCCTTCCCGGGCGTCAGTACTCGCGTCGCCAACTACACTGAATGGATCAACACACAGGCGAGTGTTTATATTCCTATAGGGACTTTTGTCCGTAGAGGATAAAGTCCCTGAATCGTGAAAAAAAACTCCGCCGAGAACATGCCACGGACTTCAATTCTTACTTAAATTACTTCAAGATCAGCGCACGCTATGAAAGCAAATATTTATATTACGTTGTGTTCAGTGCCGTCTTTGACTTGTTGGAGGCCCTGGGCATTTTAGGATAATGGGGCCCCTACGATTTCCGTTTGGTGATTTAACAGGAACTAGGGACTTTGTATTTGATCTGAGGGGGCCCCCTATCGATCGCGGGGCTCTGGGCACTTGCCCAAAGTGCCCACTGGGAAAGACGGGTCTGGTTGTGTTGTACATGTGACATGAAGGTTAATAAAAAGAAAAGTTTGTATTGGGTCGAGCGCGCAACACAAACTAATGGCTCCATTACATTAGGTCGTTAGCCCGTATTCGGGTGCACGAGACATTACTCGAATTCGGGCACCCGAAACAATATTGAATTTTTCTGTTAGTCATCAACGCCCAGCTTTTGGGTGTAGAGAATGTTGAAAACTCCTTTGATCACAATAGGTTATGGTGATCTTTTTAATTTGTTTTTTACGTCAGTTGTCAAAAGATTTTTTCTGTATTTACAATTAATAAAAATAAATATCTCAATGTAAAACATGTTCGTGAGTTTCTGTTAATAATTTATTATTTCTCAACACACTGGAATACGGGCTGGAAGACGGTGACGAGTAACCACAACGAAAACTACCCGAATACGAGCGTACTCGACTCCGTTCATTTACCCTTAGTCGTTTACCCGAATTACATTGGAACACAGCTGACTTAATGCCGCGATCACACTCTCGTTGGCTAGATATCTTGCCAACGAGAGTGTGATCGTGGCATTAAGTCAGCTGTGTGCGTTAGAGAATATTGTATTTCATGCGCGCCGCCATAGTTTCTAAATCTTTTATACAGGATTCATAATTATTATCAATAAAGTATTTTATGCAACTGTTTATAGTTAAGTATTAAAACACCCATGTGATACTATTATCCCTACATTCCATGTTTTAATACCCCTCATCTATTTTGTGTGAGCATTGCTCGGTACAATGTTGTATGTTTATCAAATCATCACATCCACACATCACATCGCCAGTCCCCACTGCTGGGGCGCAGGCCTTCCCTATGAATGGAATAGGGAGATTGGGCCATGACCCACCACGCGGGCCCAATGCGGATTGGTGGGTGCTAACGACTGCAGATGCAACCGGGACCAACGGCTTAGCGTATCACCCATCCAATGACCGACCACTGCGAAAGTTGCTTCACTTCAATGATCGCAGCCGAACGCGCTAACCACCCGCGCCATCGAGCTCCTCCATGTATGTTTATTAATAATAATTTAAAAATAATAAAAAGTATTTTTTATTATTTTTGTTGCAGATCGTGAAATATAACGCCAGTCCAGCGTTGAGCTCCGTCAACGTTTTGGTGCTTTTGGCGTCTTTGGTCGCTTCAGTGGCGGTTCTAAAATGAGACTTATTATGAACTGTGACGACGCGTTTAAAAAAACGTGTTGTGCACAGGCCCTTAGTCAAATCATTTATTTATTTTTGTAATATTTTGATAAAAATAATTGTAATTAAGAACAATGAAAATATGTTTGTATTTTTTATTCCTAAGCCTTGTCTACTTATGTTATTAATTTATTACACGAATGGTAAAAAGATACTGTTATTCTGTTCATGCTGGGTACAAACCACGTTATTCCAAAACGCGGAATAAAGTTAGCCTTGGTTTAAACCTAATGTTGTCTCCGTCGTAGGAAGCGAATTTTTACAACGAAATTGTGCTAGAATAATGAACTTTATCTACACTCATGACGAAATATTTGAATAACGAATTTTAAGAGTAGGTTTTATCAAGACGTACCTTTACTAACACTAGAATAAGATTACGCCTGTTACTAACAATTGTCTATGGATTTAAAGTCTGGAATAAATGTTTATATTATTATTATAAACTCATATACATATAATTAAAGATAAAACTCAATACAGTACCCTTAATACGAGTTTTACAATTAAGAAAACTATGATAGTTTCATTCATTACTTTAACAACTTTATATTAGGCTGAATGTGAAAAAAGAGGCACACACGCATTCGTAGTTTGAACTTAATTTCCCGCGCTTCCCATAAAGGAGATTGTTCAAATTGGCCTAAATGCACAAAAAATATTGATATACACGGTAATTCTTGGCGTAATAGCAGCATTTTACCTGAAATAAAATGCATATTAAAATACTTACCTCACTGAAAGCTTTATATTGAGATAGCACTTCCGTTTCCCGTCGAATTACCATCAGTTTCCGTACTTTTATTCACTTTGTATCCGGTCCAGTGGCGACACCTGGCAGAAGCGCGGCCATTTTTGTTTTCCTAAGTTTTGACAGCGCCATATTAAATCATTGGCTCAATTATTTCACCAGGCAGAATTTAAAGTGAAAGCTTTCAGTGAGGTAAGTATTTTAATATGCATTTTATTTCAGGTAAAATGCTGCTATTAAACTACTTGACCGTCACTGAAAGCTTTATATTGAGACCTGTTTGTTATCGCCTGGTGATCGCCACGTACATAGATATATACGCCAATGTGACAATTTATGATAAATTTAAATATTAACATTTATCAGATTATATGAAACTGTATAAAGAAACGAGTAAGCTTAAAAATGGATCAAATAATATTATTTGAATCACGCCTTTAATTTCTTCACGCTTACGAAGCTGCTTTAACATATGTATTAGCTGATCGCTATATTCCTTTGCTTAAAACTCGCGAATTATATATATATATTTGCTTTGTTAATGACCGGACGCTTCCTTGTGTAGCATTCATTTGTATCTTTGTATATCACAAATAAGGCGTACGAATGCGAGAAAAAGATGTAAAGTTGTTCGATACTGAGTCTTACATTTTACAATACTGTACTTTTTACTTAAGTACCAAAAATCAGGGTCCCACTTACGATTACCATTATTCGATACAAGTCACCAATCGGATTGTCTTTAACTACTTTCACCTGTTTTGAACCAAAACAAGACTAAAATTAATCTTCGTCGGTACAAATACAATGATTCGGAATAATTTGAAGTAGGAACAAGTCATGTGTACCACATGCTGAACCAAATAATACGCAGCATAATTACTGTATGACGTTCAGAACAATAACTAGTATGACGAGGTATTTGAAACAGATCATTATGATATAACGAGTACATTATTGAAGAAAAGGAAATGATTCTTTAAAACAATCGACTTCAATATATTATTATGTGTTTGCCAAGACAGGTGAGCTTAGGTAATTAGACTTATCATCCATTGGTATATCATGTAAAAACTACCGACTTATTTAGAATAATGGTACTTATTTTGAGATAAGTCACGTGTTAAAATAAGTCTCAAATCGTGTTAGCTCAGAGCCGAGTCCACAACCTGCGGGATTATTCCGATAAACATTCTTGTTCCTAGACCAATGCAACCACGCAAGCCAGCGTTTCCGAGCCATCTCATAGCTGTTTAAAACAGAGCTGTCGCTCTTTGTAGAATATGATAAAAAGCGTAGTGCTAGCATATCTATTTGATTGGAGTGGAGATTGAAGTGAAGTGGTAGAGCCGTATTCTTCAACTATACTTGCCAAGCTTTCATATTAGATTGGCAGGAAGTGATTGCAAGGTCGATTGCAATGAATTTATAACTATTGTTAGAAGTAGGGAGTGGTTGATACAACCCCATGGAATGACAAACATGTTGAAACCGATCAACTTCTGAAGTTTTACGCTTTTACAACGAAATTCTCAGGTATAGTTTTTATATTGTTGCAGGGTTGCCGTGATAAATTATGCTATTACGAAGTTCAGACCAGATTTTATGAAATTCATTTGCCATCCTGGAATCTATAATTGATTGTAATTTTTCCTTTTGTTTTTCAGTTCTTAGATCTGAGTCATTTATATGTATTGCTTAATACTCAATAAAGATTTAGTTATTTATAAGATTTACACAGCTTACATGAAGTGTGCATGTACTATGCGTAGGGTTTGAAGTATATTTATTGCAGACAGTCGTGGCAAGGTTAGAAAGCGTAAGTTTAATATTAAAAACAGTTTTCAGTATTTTTTACTAAAAATAACATAAAGTGGATAATTGCATACAATGATCTTCAAAACCTTTCAAGAATTTGGTAGATCGTGCAATTTTTCTTCAGTACATAGCACCACTTATATATCAAAATGGTCATGTTGGCCACCTCGGACACCTCATACACGACATTTCTAATATTGCAAGTTTCTCTCATTACCCGATCAAAAGAGTGAGCAACCCATTTGGTTTACTTTTGTTATTTTCAAGAGAAAATATGTTATCATCTATCTATCTGGCAGATAGTCCTTAAATTGCAGAAAACTTAGAATTCTTTACATAGTTATAGTGTACTGCACTTGAGATTGGAGCTTGATATATATTGGATTTAGATAAACAAGCTTTTGAATGGCATGCGACACCATTAAATTTATTTAAGAATTATTTGTGGTGCAACCAATTTATCAACTGTCCTGCACTAAATTTTTTCAAACATTAATTGTTTCGATATTCCTTTTTCTTTTGAAATGTATTACAGCACGTCCTCGATAACTATATTACGGTAGAACAACCGTAGTGATCGAGTCAACACTTCACACCAATTAGCCTAGCCTCATAATAGGCATTGAAAGACTTGTGTTATGGGCTAACGCATAGAAATGCATAATGATGATGCATAGATTGATATGATTTTGAGTTAATATTTGTTAACAACCAAGACTTAGGCACAGATGCTTGTTTTAATCATACAATGATTTGCCCCACCGGGGTGAACCCAAGACCTCGGAGTATGCGACACCTTTAAAACCACGTACATTGCACTTCACAACGGGGTACGTCAACATTCGATGTTCGATCTTTATAGTCTATTAAGAGGGTAGTTTATAGCCGATACTTATGTGTGTACGCAAACCATGAGCGGGTATGTTGCGTTGCGTCGATGTATGGATTTCCACGCGATGGAAGTAATGAATTATGTCAAGCGACATTTATTATATTTTCAATTTACTTATTTTTAATGTTTCGAATCGTTTACACTTTTACAGACCCCATGGTCACAAAAATAAATTATGAATCACGAATAGACTATATGTTAAATTATGCATAATTTGCTCCACTCGAGTGTCGTATGTTACCGGTGCTTACATAATAGTACGAACTCCATAAGCGAACATGTTCTAAGGAAAACATATATTGAGCTTCACGTAATGGAAATAATATATTATGTGTGATATGACCCCACAAGGGCGATTATAAGATTGATGAGGATATTCCTCCATCAACGATATTTTGTTACCGATACTTGTATGTGTAGGCAAGCCATGGAAGGCATGTCTTTATTCATAATGAGTTCCATACGGTGGAAGCAAATTATACATAATATGCCCCCGCGAGGGGCGGTCATTAGAGTTTTGGTAATATGCACCCTGCGAGGGTGGTTTGCTACCGTTACTCGTATATGTAGGCAAGGCATTAGAGTCATTTCATAAGGTTCCACGTAGTGGAAACAAATTGTATATAATATGCACCCCGCGAGGGTGAATTTGCTGCCGGTACTCGTATATGTAGGCAAGGCATTAGAAGCATTTCATAATGTTCCACGTAGTGGAAACAAATTGTATATAATATGCACCCCGCGAGGGTGATTTGCTTCCGGTACTCGTATATGTAGGCAAGGCATTTGACGCATTTCATAAGATTCCACTTAATGGAAACAAATTATATATAATATGCACCCTGCGAGGGTGATTTGCCACCGGTACTCATATGTGTCGGTACGCCATGGGAGGGCATGTCCTGACACGCCTTGGGCTTCATGAGATGAAGCTTATGAGTATCACTTGCCTCTGCGTGAGTTGAATCCATGACTAATTCTGACTTAATACGAGAAAAACAATCTCAAAAGCTCTGAATCATTATGGGTGATTAGATGGTATCTTATAAGCAGTGCTTTAGTTTTTACTTTTTAGCTTTGTGCCCTCACTAGCTGTAAAAGACCTAAGAAACGATTCTGTTATCTTATCACTTTCGTTATTAAAATTAACTGAACAGGTGCCTTCTCGCAATGATTCATTTTTATTTTAGAAATATGCAATTGCTGAAAGAAAATTAATGTCAGGAACGTGATATATCATAAATTATCATCATACTTCTTTACCTCGTTGTTTGTTTCCAGGTTGGTAAAGCCTGGACTATGATTATAATTTTCAATTTACATCAGCATATCATTTAAAATAAACGTTGAATGTCTTTCGAACAGAGCGTTCCTATATCCTAGTTTAGTCACACGACTCATCGGAAAATTTTTATTACGTGTATTGGTCAGTAAAAATGTTAGAACTTTTTATTCATAAGCCTTTTGATATTGATAGCTGGCCATGTTCAGAAAAAGA